GAAACATGCAACAGATAGAAAAAAACACACGTGGCACAAGACACCACACACTGCAAGCTATCCCATGCAGAAATTTTTAATTAAAATTTTTATTAATTTTTTTTGAGAATTTTGTACAGCATGTCTTCATCATATTTACCTCTTTTTCAACTCATTCCAGATTCATTCCCTTCTCTAATCTGCCCAACTCCTTCAAGTCCATTGACTCTTTTTTGAAATGATGTTTTATACATGAGTCAAACACATTCTGATGGTTCCTGACTCCTTCTCCAACTCTCCCCAACCCAATTTCATGCCCTCCTCTCTCTCTCTTCATCTTCCTGTCCCTCTCCATGTCTCCATCTCTATCTCACTTTCTTTGTAATATCTCACCTAGCCCAGAGAGTGACATATGTGTACACATGGGCTTGGGGACTGTACAGTGATGCATGGGTGACCTCCTAGTCGCTACTCTCCCCAAAGAAAAAACGATTCTCATTTCCCCATCAATGGACAACATATCTTCAGCTATGAGTATTACCTCATGAGTCCCTGCCCCATCATGTTGGAAATTTGATTGGCTTGATCTGTGGAGGTTTTATGCGCTAAGCATGGTTTCTATGTGTTCATAAGCACAACAGCCATGTTGTATCTAGAAGATGGTATTCCACAGCATTCCCAACCATTCTCTAGCTCTTATGGCTTTTCTGCCTTCTCTTCTGCTAAGTGCTGGTGAGAGTTCATAATTGTCCCATATAGGGCTGTGATGGAGGAAGGTCATTGGCTAATAACGAAACTGCCTTGGCCCATTTTATAGGTTAGAACATAGGTGGGTGGAGTAAACAGAACAGAATGCTGGGAGGAAGAGGAAGTGAGCTCAGACTCGATAGTTCTGCTCTCTGGAGCAGACGCGATGAAGCTCCGACATAGGCTAGAATCTTCCTGGTAAGCGTACCTTGGGGTGCTACACAGATTATTAGAAATGGTTTAAGAGGCTGAAACTAATGGGCCAGGCAGTGTTTAAAAGAATACAGTTTCCGTGTAATTATTTCGGGGCATAACCTAGCAGGCAACCGGGAGCCAAGCTGTGGGAAAAGGCCCACAGTTCTTACTACAGGGCTGAGCTCTCATAGGCACTTATTGCAGACTGGTTGTGACTGGTGCCCACTGCAAAAAGCAGTTTCTCTGACCAGTTGAGTGTAGCACAGATTTATGGGTATAAACATAAGTATTTAGAGAATAGTTTACAAACTGACCATTCAGTGAACTGGTCTCATTAGGGCCAAAGACCTCCCAGCCATGGACTTTTGGCTATGTTTATAGCAACAGACAGGAGTTCTATCTGGTGGTGGTGATGGGGGAAGACCACGAAGGGACTCTCTAAGAAGCAGTTTAAATAGACTGGGGGAGTGGTCAAGGTTTGGCAGCCATAGGGGCAGGGCCTCCATAGATGGAGGCCAGAGACCAGGACTTACACTATCCTGGGGAGCAGGATTCAAAATCAACCAGAAGACAGTTTGTTACACCAATGACAGTCATACCACCATTGCACCACTGGGCACATCTTGTCTAGTAGACAAGTATTATAGCTTGCAGGGTCCAGAACTAGGTAAGATCGCTGATGTCTTTTCTCTTCAATGGTAAATGTGGCACCTTTTGACACTATGAGAGCTAGCTAGTGTAGAGGAAGTTTCCTGGCTAATTTGAGATTGATTCCTCTGTATTCTGCAACCAGCGAGTGTGGTATCTTCATTGGATCTTATCATCTAGTTATGATGGAAAACTAAGAGCAACGACAAGAGACCTTGTTATTTTGGAGACTGTTGGGGTTTCCCTGACCAATAATTCATAGAGAGGTGTCTCATGCTGAGCACTGAGATTTTATCTATTAACTCATGTCTTCTGGGAGCAGCATTGTCCTCCCATACAGGGTATCTCTGTTCAATAGACTTTAAAATTATATTTTCTAATTATTTTACAAATATGGAGCAGGTCTCCAAAGGCTTTTACATGCATTTTTAGTTTTGATTAACCCACTCCCTATAACTCTCTTTACTCCCATCCTCAAAACTATTAACTTTTAAATTTGTTTTAAAATTTGGAAAAGTAAAATAACTCTGATGCTTAGAGTCTAACCTTAGAAATTATAATTTAACATAACTATATTTTATATGAGTATATATAGATTTATATAATTATATAAGTAATACAATTATTGCTCTTGTATGGAGTTTGAGATTTTAGGATCAAAAAACCCCTACAACTTTTGTTTGATTCAGAGGTACACCAAAAGTTAATAAAAACTCCCTAAAGTTAGTTCCCTCACTAATTATTTCTGATATCAATATGATGAAAACAGCAAACCACACTCAAAGTAGGAAGAGGGGAATGCATAGTTCCACAGCTTATACACTACAGTTTGCTTAGAAGAGCAATCCAGTATGGCAAGGAAAGATGGGGGAACCCTTTCAAATTCCTGGAAAGCACAGGGGAATGCTATCTTCTGTGTCTTTATTTAAAGGGCCTTCCTGGAGTGTTGAAAATCATTCATAAGAAAGACAGCACATAGTACACTCAAGTTACATCTTCATGTTTTGGGTTATTTTTAAGTGCCGAGATGGAAACAGGAAGTCTTATGCAATGTCCTCTCCATAAAATGGACTTTGACTTTAAATGACTTTCTTCAATATTCATTTATAAAATATTCAAAAATAGTCTGCCACATCCCAGGAACTGTGCTGACTGTGCAGTCCTAGTGCATTCTGGGATTGGAAGCCGGTGGCGATGTCTGTAGAGATAACCAGGGGATGCAGAGAAGCGTGCAGTCACTGGGGTTGGGAAAGCGGCAGGAAGGAGCCTGCAGGAGGAAACATGGAAATGGAAAAGAGTGTTGAAAAGGAAATGGGAAGGAAGCTTCCATGTGAATGGTGACAGGGAAAATATGGAAGGCTGGAGGAATGGGAAGATGGGAAAAAGTTAAAAGTCATTTGTGCAAAGGCAACAGGAGGAGGGGCAGGTATAAAGGAGAGATCCATGTGACTCCCGAGTTAAACTCTACTCTCTGCTGGCTGGGAGATGTTGGCCATGCACTCAGTGGCTTGGACTCTGTCATTATTGGGAGCACAGGGGTGGGAGTACAGGGGTAATGCTGTCTTCTCCTAAGGCTGGTTTGAGGAAGAAATTAATGTGAGTATGGAAAATGGCCAACCAGGAAGAGCTGGATGAATGACACCACTACTCTCCCAAAAGTTGTAAGAACCGCCGAGGATGTGAGCTGGGAAGGATGTGAGTGAGTTGACGGTGGCTGGAATGAGATACTGGAGGATTGCTCAGATGTTGACTGGGTAGGAAAGACCACCAGGAAGAGGACAGTGGCTGAGTGCAGCCAGCTTGAACATATTGAGAGTATATCCAAAGGAATCATGGGAGTGAACAGACTTCATGCTAGTGACATTACCAAGGCTAACAAGGGATTGATCACAGTGCTTTAAATGGATTGACAAAACAGAATGGGCCTTTACAGGGACAACTTTACGGTTGCTCCCAGGACATGAGATACCACAGTAGCAGTCACCTCCTCAATAATCCGCAACCAGGAGCCTGCCCTTCTAGAACACTGTCATGACCTGGACACCAACGCAACCAGGAAGCTGCTGCCCTGCTGTGGACAGCATTGCATTATCAGAATGGATGTTCTCCCTGCTCTATCCAGCCCCCCCCCTTCATGATTTATTTTGCTAGTAACTGAACACTGGGATTTCTGCCACTACAGAGTAAATCCAAGTGCCTCTCCACAGCTGCGCTTGCTGATTCAGGGGACAAACATTCCCAAGTCCTGCCTGTCCCGGCTCAATCACATTGGAGTCCTTGCTCCTCTGGAGTGAGGGAAGTATATTTTAGCTTTGAAACATCTGGTTTGTTTACTAACATAGTGGTTTACAAAACATAGTGTATGACTAATGAGATTATCATACGTCAAGATGGTAAATACAAGGGTTAATTTGTTGTTTGTTTGTTTTTTAAATCTTGGTCCTAGCTTGCAATGTGAGATTATTTCTTCTGGTTTGGAAAGATCAGTTCTTGAAAAAGCACTGTACTGGCTGGTGCATGTCAATCTTCAGTATAAAGTCTCAGGAGAGAACCATGGGTAGATGCCAACGGCTACTGAAGGCACGTGACTGGATTTAATGATAAAAGCAAGTTAGGGATGTATTTTTTACAAGAGCTTGGAGAAAGCTGACTCAAAGACAGAAAAGTTGATTGTCACCCCATGAGATACTGGGGAAGATGAGGAAAAAGTGACCTGGACCAGACACCAGGAATCTAGTTGGTCTTGGAGAAGAACCTCTTTCTAGGACTTTTCTTCATCCTTATGCATGCTGGTACTTTTCAGAAAAAGAACGGCATCCAGAAAGGACCCAGACTGCCTTGGAGAGATAGAGTGTAAATGCACTCCACCATGGTGGGTCACACACGGGTGCCTTGCATGGGACTTGCTGTACGCTGGTGCTCAGGACAGGAGTGCCGAATGTGTTTACAAACAGGGACAGTTCTCATGATGGAAGGGGCATTTCAGATTCCCAGGACTGAGATCCACTTCTCCAGGGTGTTTATGTTCTCCTAGCCAAGGTGGACTAGTAGCTATGGGAATCACCATTTTCCTTTGCACAGAGAAATGAGAGTGAGAGGTAGGAGCTACACACATACACACACACACACACACACACACACTCACACACACTGCAATAAATAGTAAAGTCTTGGAAGTAAATTAAATGTTTTTCTTATGAGAATGGGCAAAGGTATATTGAAACAAGGAAATAAATATCTCACATTTAAGTGAATGAACTAGATTTATGTGTGTCAGGGTAAACCTCAAAATTTTACTGTTACATGAAAAAATACAAGTCACAAAATGCTACATAAAGTATATCTTTTATTAAAAAATTTATAAGCACACAAAATTGTACTATATATCCTTATTAAAAAACAAATGTAAATTTATGTAAATGAAAGGCGAGCACAGACTTCTAGAGAGAGCGTGGGGGATGGGAGAGTACGGAGAAGCTCTAGCTGCATTTTTCTTATTTTCAAAGACTCAGATGTAAATATGGTGAAATATTAATAATTATTAAATAAGCTGATGAAGCCTGGGAGAAATATTATTTTCACTTATCTTCTTAATTAAAAATAAATATATAATCATATACAAGCTTTGCAATGCTCAAACAAAAGTCAGGCTTCCTCCCCCTAAGCAGGCTAAGCAGATGTTATACAAAACATGACTGGAAAAGCATATGCAAACATACATGTGTATATACGAACATACCTGTACACTTGCATGTACACCTATACATGTGAATAGGTACAAATCGAACAATAAGCTTTATTGTTTCAATCAAGAAATGCTATTGGCTTGATCATAAACATCTATGGTTTAACTTTAACACCTCCAACCCTCTTCTGTGACTTGGTCATGGACCAATCTACAGAAGCTGGAGATGGCTGGGGTAGAGAAGGGGGATGAAGGATTCCCTGGATGCAGGGCTGGAAAGATATGACCTGAAACTTCACCAAGGCTACAGGGGCCCAATAAAGGAGGGTGAGAACAGCAGAGCAGGAGTCAGGAGGCTGGGAGCCATTCCTAGAGGGCGGGATGAGGCTGGGCGTGTGTGTGTGTGTGTGTGTGTGTGTATGTGCGCGCACACACACATGTGTGTGTACATGCTGTGGGTAGAGTATAAGAGGAGCATATGAGTGTACAGTGTGGAAAATCACTGAATTTTAATTAAATAAGAATATGTATTAGGTAGCCTAAGTATCCAGTTAGAAAAATGTGCTCACCGGCTTTGATCCCAGCACTCGGGAGGCAGAGGCAGGCAGATCACTGTGAATTTGAGGCCAGCCTGGTCTACAAGAGCTAGTTTCAGGATAGGCTCCAAAGCTACAGAGATACCCTGTCTCAAAACACAAGAAAAAAAAAACCAAACCAAGCCAAAACAAAACAAAAATAGAAAGAAGAAAAAGAAAGAAAGAAAAGCATGTCCACTTACATATGTGTGATGACAATAATTGTCAAGTTGACAGGATTTGAAGTCTCTTAGGAGACACACATCTGGTTGTTTATGTGGGAATGTTTCTAGAGAGATTCAACTAGGGATTGGAGACCCATCCTGAATGTGGGCAGCTGTACCATGAAAAATCCCTGACTGAATAAATCGAGAAAAGGAGGACGTGCGATGGGTACTGGTGTCCATCTCTCTCTACTTCCTGACTGTGGATCCGACGTGACTAGCTCCCCACACTCCTGTTGCCATGTCTTCCGGCCGAGGGGACTGTGACCTCTCCTGAAGTGTAAGACAAGATAATCTTTCTCTTCAGTTGTGTCTAGCAGGTACTCTGTCACATCAATGAAAAATATAATTACTGCAGATGTGCCAGGAATCCCCTCAAAAGTATCATAATCCCCGGATTGTGCACTCCCTGTTTCCATTCCGGCTGCCTTATCAATAATTAATTTCTATTATTTATTTTCATTTTTCCACATTTCACTTTTTCTTTTAATTGAAGTGCCCTCTTTTCTGAACCTTTATAGAGATTATAATTAGAAACAGATCAAACCATAGTGTAAAGGTCAGGTACCTCTGCCCAGAGGATAGTCTTTGAAAAACAAAAATGGTATCTTTCTTGACTCAGAATCTGAGTGGGTAGAACATTTGTTTAGTTCTCATGTAGGTTACATGTGCCTTTTCTACAAGGTTTTTTTTTTTTTTTAGTTGACTTAAGCTAAGATTCACTTGCCCCACATTTGAGTCCAGCACAGACACTGCAGGTCCCCTTATTCTCCAGCACTGTGTCCAAAACACTTGATTCTTTTTGACCTATACAATGCAATTCCTTTTCCAATACCTGCAGAAGGGAGCAAGGAGGAGAATTGTAGGCAGCCTTCCTTTCTGCTTTGTTTTCTTGTGTTCTGCTCACACATCAAACAGCTGAGTTTTCTTCTTATAATTTTAACTCTTTCCTAGGCTTTCTGTTAAAAACTTTCTCCTCTTTTATTTCAGAGAAATTCATATTTCTCTATCCTTTCATACAGGACAGGCAGGACTTGCTTTCTTTGCTAAAGTGTACCACCTCCTAGAGGCTCCCACATCAATTCAAATGATTTGTCAAAGTCTGACCCCCACAAGGGTGCAGAAATCTTAAGCCTGACCAGACTGGGGAACTAAGTGGCCATTCAGGTCAGGAGAGGCTCTTGCTGTTTGCTGTCCTGAAGGACTCCCTTTTTCACAATCCTCATTGTCAACAACTTTCTCGGGGACTTAAAAGCCACACGAAGAATGGACTAAGAGGTGTTTGAAGCAGGGAATGCTATATGCACATCCCAGGAGATGTCAGCAGGTCTTCCCTAGAAAAGACACAGAATCACCTTGGCATTCCAAGCTCATAGAGTATCATTCTACATGGCAGCATGGAAGTCCCTGGATCTGCTGAGATGATGAGCAGACAAATATTCCTGGTGGTATCAGTTTCATCATGACATGTGGGGCTTGTCTCTGTTTGGGACCTTCCAGAACTCTATTTGGAACCTCAGCTCACAAGTTTCATCTTCTGAGATGAAGGAAACACTGGGGAGAAACAAATCCACCTCCTAGCCTTTCAGATTCAGACCCTGAGTTTCAGGGGGAGGAAAAAGGTTCAAGATCAAACAATGAATTAGTGGTTAGACTGGGGCTACCCGGCTTTTTCTAGAGCCCATGTGAGTGTCTGTCCACACACTATATCCCTTCCTTGCTCTCCATCTGAAAGAGACTTCACCTTTCAAGGCTCTGTATTTCCCAAGGACAGAAGGAGAGTACACTAATTCACACACTTAGTTTCAGTTGCACTAACACTCTCTTGTTGCCCACATTTGGACAGATGAAGTGCTGTCTGGCAGACAGCGTTTTTCTACCAGAAGGCCAAGAGCGACTATTCAGTCTGAACTACTATATAAGAAGATGGACAGAACGTTTTCAAGAGGAAAGGTGTTTGTGTCCACGTACTGGAAGTTATCCACCACGACTGAAATGGTGGAGTTGACCTGTAAGTAAATCAGCAAGAACTGAGAGAGATTCTGGTAGATGTTCTCGGTTTGCATTCCAGACTTGCACACTGTTACCAGTGCCTGTTTCTTGACCGTGGTATTGACGAGAAGCTGCAATGTCAGGTCCACAGAATGATTGGAACATTGCACGAAGAATTGCAGTTGACAGATAATGAAGTACCAGCCCGGGACCTGGACTACCAGGCTCCCATCCTGGTATCCGACTCCATGAATGTGGCCATCTTGGTTCCATGACAGCTTGGTACTGTTGAGCTGTTTTGACACTGGAATGGTAGAAGCAGAATTATTACATGTTAGGTATAGCCTGGAAAGCTGTTGTTCAAGGTTCCCACTCAGCAACCCTGTTGTCTAGAACACTGCCCACTGTACCACACATTTAACACCGTCTGAAGTACTCTTTCTAGAATATTCTTTCATAGCTCATTGTTTCTATTTAGGAAGGCACAGAAAGAACACCATCTGTCATTTCTTTTTGTTGTTGTTGTTTTGTTTTGTTTAATGCTCAAAGCTGGAGGGCTGGATCACATACAACACAGTGCAGGAAAAGGAAAGACCTAGAAGGAGGGTTTCTCAAAGGAAGGCAGCACCTACAGATGGTTTTAATTATTTTCTATCACATATGATTGTTGGTATTTTCTTTTTACTTTTTTCAGTGTCTATGTGTATATGTGTTTGTATTAGATCCATGAATGTGTTTAGGTGCAGGTGCACACGTGTACATGTGTGTATTTAACCCAGAGGACAACCTTGGGTATCATTCTTAACACACTACGTATCTTGTTTCTTTTTTTTTCCTAAAGATTTATTTGTATTTGTGTGTATGTATATGACTATATGCAGTGTGTGTGTGTGTGTGTGTGTGTGTGTGTGTGTGTGTGTGTGCTTTTGGAGGCCAGAGGTGGGCATAACATACTCTGGAGATGGAACTTAAGACAGGCAGTTTTGAGACACTGATGTCAGTGCTGGGAACTGAACTTGGGTCTTCTAGAAGAGCAGCAAGTGCTCTTAACTGCTAAGCCATCTCTCTAGCCCATTGCCATGTGTTTTTGACACAGAGATTTTCATTGGCCAGAATCTTGCCAAATAGATTAGGTTGGTCAGCCAATGTGCCACAGGGATACCTTGTCCTTGCCTTGGCAGTCCTGGCATTGTAAACATGAGGCTGCTTGGCTTTTACCCCAAAGTCACTTCCCTGGCTCCTTTCTCTTTTAGACCTTGCCTATCTGGACTGTAGTTTGCAACAAGGTCTATGCTATTGTGTCATTTGTCACGAGTGAGCATTTAGTGTTGACTACTGGTTTGATAGGCATTGAAGATGATGTCAGAGAGGTGACACTCAATACTGTTCAGTTTTAGTATTGAGTGGCTCAGGAGAACCTGTTAACTTTTGCGTGCAAGATAAAATCAAAGTATGTTTTGTGCATGCATGAAACTGTCAACAATGAAACCCATTATGGCAGGCAATTGACATATTCTAATAAAAAATAAGATACACCTTTAAACTTGGTCTGAAGTTTTGAATGTATCCTTTCCTTAAAACGCAGTCAAACATCCTTGCACGGGCTTTTCACATGCACAGTGAGAGGCCTGCCACCTAAGACTGTTAGAAAGACAGAGAATCAACAGAGCCTCTAAGCTAAAATGTTTGTGTGAAAGCCAATTCTCTGAGTCCTAACAAATGAAAATTAGTACTGACTGGTAAAGGTGTGTCCAGACCTGGGAAGCTGGTGTGCTAGTTTAAGTTGATTCAACGCTTTCTCTTTAACCTTGCTGCGATTCAACTGAAAGGCATGAACCAATCTGGCTGCAAAACGGCTGTTCAGAGAATCTTGGCCATCTCTTCCGTAGTTCATTCTTTCATGCTCTAAGTGCCTCTTACTTGCTCATTTACAAGGGACTCTCACCTGAAGGACACCGCAGTATGCAAACAGGCCCTGTTCTAAGAAGTTCATTAAGCTATCAGTTTGAGGACCAGACAATTTTGTGGTTCCCCTGAGAAGAACTTGGAAAAGGTAGAGATGGAGGCTGTTTTTTCTTCACACTGGGGAAAAGACTTGGCCCAACTGAGAAGACAAGTGCACAGCTGTGGGGTATTGGGAGAAGGGAGAGGTGATGGAGGTGAGGGACAAAAGAGTCTTCAAAGGCCAGGTAGGAGGCACAGATGGGTGATGCAGTGGCTCCCACCTGCTGAAGGAGCTTTTGAACGTCTGTCCATCTGTCTGTGGTCTCCAAGCTCATGGTTATCTATTTATTTGAATTGTGCCATTTCTAAACCTACAACTAAACTTTTTGTTGTTGTTTTCAGCAAATGGGGCTAAGGAAAGAAGAATCTTGTACCTTTGGAGAGAAATACTCTCATCTTTTTCATCTAAGACATTCAAATTCAATTTATGAAAAGTATGATGTTAGTTAAGAGCACATGCGTGAGTCAGGTTTAGCTAGAGGACTCTAACTGTGTCTTCTGGGGTACAAATTGGCACAGGGCATGGCCTTTGCAGGGTTAGATTTTTCTGTCTATGGTTACTGACCTTTAAGGTAGGCCCATGACTTCTTGAAGGGAGTTCTTTTCAGGGTACATAAGAGGTCTTCCGAGCAGTTTCCTACAAACAAGATCAGGTGTGAATTATCTTGTGGTTCTCTGGGAACTGCAGACAACCATATTCTTTGCCGTGACCCTTGGAGACGGCCATTTACTACCGTTTGTGGGATTAAATGAAAACAACTCCAAGCTTTGGTTTTCATTTTTCTGTTAAAAGGCTTAAGATTTTTACATTTCTGGAGTTTATTTTTTATTTATTACTGCTACTTGGGTTGTTATAGAAGATTATGGAAGTTAAACAAATACGATCCGACTTGCCATAGTGTATTGGTCCCCATTTCTGACAGTCCTCATGAAAGGTGTTATTGGGTATCTCTAATAGGTGGAGGGAGGCTGGAACCTCATGTCCTTCAGCCCAAACACCGGTCTTCCCAACAGCAACACTGATGGAGCTACTGCTCCCCAGCCTGCTGTGTGGACACTAGGCTCACGGCTTTTACCTGCATCAGCTAATCTGGTTCTCAGACTAAGCCAGGATCAACTTTTATGAAGACACTCAAGGACATTCTTAAATCCAAGTAAACAGGTGAAAATGTGAGGATTCCCTACATCTGTCTCATTCTAGAAGATGGAATTCTTTCTTTAGGCCACCCGGTTAGACAACAAAGATAAAAAAAAATCCCTTTCAATTTTAAGAGGACAGAGCAATACTGGCATCTTACAGGAAGCCTCCCATCTGGGGCTTCTTTGGTTGAGGCAAACACAGTATTTGTGTCATTACAGCATCTGAGAAATATAAGTATTTTTAATGTCTTCACTAAGGATGATAACTTTCTTATTGTAACAAGCTATTTTGTATGATAAGAACCAAGTTATACATTTTCTGTAATGACTCATGAATTTGATTTATTTTGAGCAAATCTCTTCTCTTCTTTGGGCCCTGGCGCCCCTGTCTGTAAGCTGATGCTGATGTCTTTTTGATGATGTCATCAGAGATAACCATTCAGTCCAGCCATAAGAGACTAACAGGCACGAGCTCATGCACTAGGGCCTGTGCCCTGCTGTGCTTTCTTATTCTGTCTCTGAGTAGTATGACCACCCCGCCCATCCCCTTGCTTTCTCTGCCCAGATTTGAGAAAATTCCTGGAACCTGTGAGTGGTTCAAAGTTGAGTGAAGAGTTCCCTCTGCTGTCCGAGCAAGTTCACTACCAGAGGAAGCCCCAGCAGAAGTGGGGGCAGTGTTCTTCCCCATCTGCTCGGGCCCCACAGGAGCATCTGGCTCCGCAAGGGCTGACGGCCAGCATTCATCCTCTCGATCCTATCCATGCGCATCATCTAAGCAGTGTTCTTGTGAGGCCTGATGCTGCCCTGCACAGACATGAGTGTGTATAATCAGAACCCCGATCCCAAAGTGTGATATTTGAATGGATTGTGACTGCGGTAGACTCCTTGTTGTCCACTGTGATCTTGGAGGTTGTGGAACATCAACCAGAAGGAAACAGAGAAATGCAAATCTGGTTCTCTTTGCTGGTAACCACACTCTGATTTCTGTTACCTACAGCTCCCACGAGTGGTATCCATGACTTCTTGGGTTCTGACTCCTCCCTATCTCTCTAGTTGCAGCCTGTACCATCCCTCATCCCCCTTTACTCTGTGTCTTTAGAGTAAACAAGGTCACCATCACTACCAGCATCATAGCTAATGCTGACTATTTTTTGTGGTACTTTGCTGAACACGTTACAGCCATGATTTCATTTCATTTTCACAACTGTCCTGTGAAAGACAGTTTATAGTTTATAGTAGTTTCCATCATGGATATGAGAAACTCTAGGCTTTAAACGTTAACTTGCTTATTCTCAGCCACACAGCTAGTTGCTGGTAGGCTGGAGATTAAAACTCAGCCAATGAGACTCTAATGCCCAAACACATTTTCTCCCACCCATTGGAATTTGGAGGCTTGCTGATTCCCCAAACAACCACATAGATATGCTTCTGCCTGAAGACCTCCAGTTCCTGCCCCTGGAATCCCTTCCTCCGTCAAGTCCTTTGAAACACACCCTGGCAGAGACTGCTGTTTAGTCTCTCCTGCTGCTCAGGCAAGAAGACCCTTCATAAGCATTTGCTGCTGGGGTCATTTCTTACCTCCTTTGGTAGGTACCAACTCAGTCAGTACTTGGAACATCGGTGTGGTGAGCAGGGATGCTTGACTCCCCCCCCCCCCTCCAGGAAGAACGCTGATCCCACTCTCACAGGTTCTGCCAGTTAGTTGGGAAAGTAGGACTCGTGCCCTTGACCAGAGTCAGGATGTCACATAAAATACAGGCTCTATCTCTCTTGTCCAAAGGCCCCTTTGCATCAGGTGGCTTGTGGTGACATTTGCAAGCTCTGAGCATCTACAAATGGATGGTGGCAGAAGTACAAGCCCAGGCTTGCCTTTCACACATGCAGGGTTTTTTTTTTTTCTGTTTTTCCCCCCTTTGGTCTTCACGTGTATAGTGGGGTAACCTCAGCTGTAATTCTGAGAAACCCAGCGATGGAAAAAAGCAATCTTATTTTGCATTTCCTGAAGTCAAATGGCAGGCATTTTTTAACTTTTCTTAAAGGATCAATTCATGCTAAAGGAGAAACATGGGCTTCTTCTAAGAATGGTGTTAATGGAGCTGGTTATCTAGGGAGTCACACTGTTGAGCTTAGGAAGACCTCAGAGGCAGCATGTCTGTTCTTTCACACCTGGACATATTGCCAGAGAAGTAGAGTAACAGATTCTTGGTGAGGCCCAAACACCAAAGATCTCAGTGGTTTCTGAAGGATTAAAAAGCCCTCAGCCAGTGACTAACACCCCTCTGACGTGCTTTCTCACACATAGTGGTGGACAGACCTACACCACATACACCCTAAGTTATAACCCAAGTCAGAGAGATGCAAGCTTGAATATTTGGCCAGCCAGGTCTGATCAAGGACTGGGTAGGTTGCTTTGAAAGTCACAGGACTCTTGTTATGACCTACACAGTGTTGTGTGGGGTACCAGCCATGTAGCTCAAGTCTCATCAGCCTGTTACTCAATGATAAGACATTCTACAGTGGATATGAAGACTTCTAGAGGGGACTCCATGCAGCAGGAACCCTTCAGGGGCCCTAGAGCTTTGAGGATTGGGTGCCTAGACTGTGAATCTCTGTTCTCTGCTTTCCCAGTGAATATGAGTCTAGAGGGGCTTAGTTTGAGAAATAGAATATGAGAACTATCTGGACGTGGAGGCTAAATTGATGGGTTGGGTGTTAAGATTCTGGGAATTTCTCTTTCCGATTTTATGTTACTATCTAGATGGAGAGCACTGTAGGCTAACGATCTGGAAATGTCTCTCTAGATGATTCTAACAGAGAGACCTGCTGTATCTCTGCAGTGCTGGTACCAACGTGGGGTGGCGGGGGGCTGGGAACTGGGGCCAGGATGTCAGTTCTGGCTCCAACCCCAGGTAGGAGACCATGTCTGCACATGTTCAGATTTTCAGAGCCCCAGGGGACAGAAGAGAAAAAATTCACCTCGGTGGCAATCTAAGTTATGAACATTCTTCTTCTGTAGGAATCTCATATGGTTTTTGAAAGAGAAGCTGCCTGCAAGAGCCCCTGTCCACAGTTGGCAAGCACATCCTTCCATGCTCCCAGTGTCGCCCCCAGTGCAAGCTAGTCCTAGGTCACAGAGTGAGTTAAGACAGAGACAGGATGGGAGTCTAGAACTGCAGATTCTTTGGCTGGCCAATCTGTCTTTAGACCATTGGGGACTCCATAAATGTCTTGGTAATCAGAGCTTTCAATTAGATGGAGTTGGTGCTTTGTGTTTTTTGTTGACAAGTTCTGACTTCTAGAGGGATGATGGACTAATCTTTTGCTTTGGAAAACTGGAGAGAAAGGTATGTCAACGATACCCCAGTGTCTCCTTCCCCAGAGAAGAGGGGAGAGAAGGGGGTAGGGATGGAGATTGCTGAAGGTAGTGAAATAGACCATGCACTGGATGATAAGGATTGTGGCAAACTTAAAACTAGACCCTGTCCTGGAGAATTTATAATGCTGTGTCCAAAGGGTCAAGGGAGTGGAGATGATGGATTTTATGAGAGGGAAGATTGAGCCCAGAGATGTGGAGTTTGGGGACCTCATAGCAGGTGGAAGATCACTAGCACTGGGCTCAGAACACTTGCTGTCCTCACTCCTCGTGCTAGGCTCTGTTTTCCTGTGGAGCAGGGCTGTTAGAGGAAGAAATGAGTCTGCAGCCATTCCACACAGTGCAGCTGAAGTCTCAGACACAGCTGGAGGGAGGGGCTGGGAAAGCATCCCCGGGGCCTTCCCGATCCTGCAGTGTGGGAGAATGGCAAAAGAGAACTTCAAGTCTGTGTTCAGAACTGGGTCAAGTCAAAGGTCAGGGTAACTGGGCTTTCTAGTCAGATGATATGTCATCTAAATGACAGTCAGCTTATGCTCCGCAGAGCCTCTCCTGTTGGGACCAGGCAGAAGGCGCTTCTCAGAGCACATGCTATTCCACTGAAAGCTCTGGCTCCATCTTTCCCTCTCCCGGATTTCAGCTTTGGTACCAGCAAAGTTAGGACAGTAACAACACAGATCTGGGGCTGATGTGACACACATCAAGATTACAAATGGCAGCCGGCCCAGCACATGGCTTTCAGAGACACTGCAAATGTGAGGTCCCTCTCTTCCTGTCTCTTGTTACCTTGGCGCAGCTCTGTGGCACGGTAGAGAGGACTGGCTAACGAGACGCCACTAAAATGAAACCCATGCAATTGACTGTCAGATTAGACTTTCTAGATTCTGTAAACAACTGTTCGAGGCTTTCTGATACTTTTAGGGAAGTATAAGGACTTCTTGGAAATATTTTAATCTTTGAAGAAACGGAGAGTCCTGCATTTTAGTTTCAGCTCCCTTGGAGAGCACTCAGGAAAGTCCCAACAGCGACATCTAGAGGAATCTCCACTCTCAGGAGCATTTGGGACCAAAGCGAACCCTTAAACTGGTGGGGTCAAGTTGGGGTGGGGGTAAAGGGGGTGGGCCATT